ATTCATTCATTCATTCATTCATTCATTCATTTATTTATTTGTTCTATTTTACATGGAGCCCTGCTGAAAAGCAATCATTGTGATGTAGGCCATCTGTTAAAATTTAAAGATTTTTATTATTTGTTTATTTCAACAGATGGATTGAGTCTTAAAATTATTGCAATTGTGCTTGGTTGCCTTTTTTTTCTGGTACTAGTGCTAGTTGTGGTAATCTTTGCTAATTGTTACAAAATACACCAACAAAGGTAAAGCATCAATCTTTTTTTCTTTAAAATGATCAGGAATGTTTCATTTTGATTTTCTGGGGGTACTGAGTCAAATAATGCAAAGCCTCAGAAAGGATGAGGTTTATATTTTTGATAGATATTAATGATCATGCATAATCATTAGTGAATAGTTAGTAGATTAGTATTATGCCTCCAAATTGGGATAGCCTGTTGAACCAGGAGACAATCCCCTACTCTTACACAAATAATTCAACAATTTCTTTTATTTCCCTCATTTTACTGCAGGTTAGCTAGGAAGGGTTGGGAGACCGGGCCTACGGTTTAAGTCCTTATCTGAGAAGATCTAGACTTGAAGGTCTAACTATTTGCAGATGTAATTACAACAGCAGCAACTTCTCCTCAGTTATTTTAAGACCCTGAGTGTTGGTTTGGCTGTGTCTTGAACATCGACCTCCTGCACAATAAACTGACGCTCTTACCAACTGATCATGAGCTAAGCGGGTGGCATTTTTTAGAGAAAAATTCAAAACCTTCATTTATTCCCTTGATCATAATGATTAATTTATGACCTTTTGGAGCCCAAACAGGGTTGAAAAGAATTAGATATAATGTATACACTAGCTAATAATAATTATTAATTATTCGATTTTTATTATTATTACCTAATAACTTTTATTATTTAATTCACGATTTTTAAAATAGTTTTTGTTTATGTGGTTTATGATGTTTTATTTGCATGTGACTGTTTTTTTATTGATTTAATTTTACATTTTTCCATGCAGCAGCAGAGGAAATGGAATTGGACAATGTAAGTCCTACTTAGTGTAACCTTACAGGTAGATTACTTATTACTTATTAGAATCATACCTAAAAACTAGGGATATATTATGCTCCCTTTGGAGGTTAAAATTTTGTTAAATAATATTGGAAAATCACTGCTCGAGCAGCATACATAATCGACTCATAATCACTGGTCGCTCAACAAATCACAGCACGCGAAACTCTTTACTCAACTCTAAAATTATGCTAATATTTTTTAATTATTATTTCAATTCATATTTTTTTATCTTATTATTTATCTTAATTTTATAAAGATTTTTTATTGGCTTATTTAATTTATAAAATTTATTGTTAAATTAATGTTGTTGGCTAATAAAATTGGAATCCAGCCCTTAAGCTGCGTTCATAATGTATGGCATGGAGGGGGGGGGGAGGGTGCAGGAGGTGAAAATTTGAAATGTCCAGAATAATTCTAAATACCCCCCTTAAAGTCATGCAAGAAAATACGATCCCCCCTAAGCAAGGCTCGTAGCTTCTTCCAAAAATTGTGCATCCCCCCCCATTTTTCTGATAAAAATTTGCGCATCCCCCCCTTTTCCTACCAAAATTTTCCCGATCCCCCCTCAATTTCACCTGCCCCCCCCTCTGCCATACATTATGAATGCAGCCTTAATGCTATATTTTCACCCACATTGAATAAGAATTGTTAATTATCAATATTGTGCTTACTGATAAATGCATAATTATGTGCTAACAGCTTTGTAATTTTGAAAATAAAATAAATGAGAGTGAAAATTAAATGAATGTTTTTCAAAAAAATCAACAAAAAAAGGAGAGGAAAGATTCTCACTGGTGGAAGTTTCAGCATTTCTCCTGTAATGTTTTGCACAATTTTAAAATTGATTTTCTGCTTCCTAGTGAATACCTATAGCAGATATATAAAAAAGCTTAAAAGCTACTCCAGACCTGGACCAAGGGCGGATCCAGGGTGGGGGGGGGGGGG